TGTAGAACATGGGACGATTGTCGGTATTTACATAGCTAGTTCATACTCAAGTAGAGGGCTGTATTCGGTATCGTTGGTAGAGTATTTAGCACAGACGGCCAGCTTCCGCATTTTGCCCCAGTGTTTCTTCATGTGTACGTTGCCCTTCCAGTGGTCACCTTCGGAGTCTAGCTTGGTCCATTCGTCACCAACGACCACGGCTACGGCAATAGCGTTTGGTACGCGGACGTTGAAGGGCAGACTACTAGGAGGAGGACTGCTCAACCTGCCATTATCATCTAGACCAAGAATGCCATCAATCGGTGTCTTTAGGTAGCAGCCGTGTCGCCAATGCTGAAACTGTTTTGGGAAAGGCATCACCTGACCGCAGGGCCGATGATACAGTGAGGCATCAATCAAATAGGTGTACACCTTAGGCAGGGAATCGCTGCGGTCATTCACAGGCAGAGTATAGAGCTCAAGCCTGAAAAATCCAGGTTTCGGAAACCGGAGGAGAAAAAAGACCTGGTTCTTCTTCGTCTGCTGGAGAATCTGCAAGGAAATGCGACTTAAGACAGGTGAGGAAGCTAAGTACCCAATCATTTATCGTAGAGTTAGATGTAAAAGGGGCGGCAGAGTCCCCTCTATGGTACAGCATACGTGCTGTTGCTTCTACGTGCAAATTAAGAAGAAGAATCAAACTAAAAAAGGCAAATATCGACGTTGCTACTCACAGAGTCATGAAAATAGAGTAACCTGCTTGGCAGAAACTGAATGTTAAAGTAAAAAAAACCTAGGAATCCTCCGAAGGCTATCATACGGAAATGAAATTTTTGGACTTACGTAAGCTTTGAGGGCAGCCTAGTGAAACGAAATAGCTACCTACAACAGCTGCCTGTCCCATAAGTCGAGAGTCACTTTCGAAAATGTTTTTTTTTAATTAGAGAGAGATATAGGCGCATTTATGATTGCGTCGAAATTAATTATAAATTATGCTACGCGGTGTAGTTCAGTTTATTTTAAGCAAGCATACATGTCGATAGTGATAGTAGTAGTAGTAGTAGCAGTAGTAGTAGTAGTAGTAGTAGTAGT